AGAATTATGACAACTAATGTATATAAGATACTTAGAAATGTAAGTACTAAGATACAGCAGTCCCTGGCTGTCTTAAGTGCTTAGAATGCTAGTATTGTTACATACTGGGCACCTACTACATGGCAGATATTAGAGAAACAAGGACAACAGTTTGTCCAGTTCCTGAGGAATTTAAAGTCTATCTAGTAAGGGTGATAGAGATATAGACAAGTATGTGAACTGAAGTGTTACAGAGCCAGAAAGAAAGTGAGAACGCAAACACATACACACATATACACACACAGATATGCAGATAAACACACATACACACACAAAAGACAGCACACGCGCAACTGATGATTACACTAGCAAGAAGGTGCTCCTTGCACTTGGAAGAATCAAAGCCAGGAAAGGCTCCATAGAGACCATATGGCTGAACTGGGTCTCATAAGAATAGGGCCTTGCAGACAGGACAGAGCCCTAGGGATGTGCAGGTAATTAAAGAGGATGAGCAAAGGCCGCAAGCAACATCTATTTCATTCAACAAATATTGAACAAATGACTGTTGTGTTTGGCACAGTTTTAAATATAGGAAACAAGCAGTCAATGAGATGGACATGGCTTTTGCATTCACTGAGCTAACATTTGATTTTTTTTTTTTTTGAGACAGAGTCTCACTCTGTTGCCCTGAGTAGAGTACCATGGTGTCATAGCTTACAGCAACCTCAAATTTGGGGGCTCAATTGATCCTCTTGCCTCAGCCTCCCAAGTAGCTGGGACCATAAGCATGTGCCACCATGTCTGGCTAATTTTTCTGTTTATAGTAGAGATGGGGGTCTTGCTCTTGCTCAGGCTGTTCTCAAGCTCCTAAGCTCAAGGATCCCCCACCAGAGTGCTGGGATGACAGGTGTGAGCCACCACACCCAGCCATTAAGCTAACATTCTAACAGGGGAGACTAACAACCAGCAGAAAACAGAGAAACCCCAGAGCTGTGTTGAAAACACGGCAGGTAAAGAACGCTTGAGTGGGCTGGGAGTGGTGGTTGCCCTGACAGTTCAGAAGGCAGAAAATAGGTGGCAGGAGGGAAACGCTGATCCCCACTCTCTGCTTTCTATGGGGAGCATTTCCCCTAAAGCCTCCTGACCTCTCACTCTGCCCTTTTCTTCCCCAAGAAAACATGCAATCTGGCTGGGATCCAAACCCAGCGTGGCCCAGGCCTTTTCTTGCCAAAAGTTAATCTATCAGAATTTTAAGCAGAAGTTAGGTGGGATTTTGGACTCTTTCTCCTCCCTTCTTCACACAGTGGCCTGAAGACTCAAAACTTTCCTGCAGGTGGACTGTTACCAGACTTAGACTGGGGAATAGGCAGGTGGCAAGCCCTTCCTGGCTGTTACCCTAACTATACCTTCTTATTATAGTTCACTGTTGTCAGTCACATGGGCGCATTCTGGCCTCCATCTGCCTTACTACTGTCTCATCTTCTTGTTCAGTTGGCTCAGAATTTGGGACAGGAAGAGAGCTCTTTTAAGATAAAAGTTTCTGTAAAATAAGAATCTTCCCTCCCCCAACAGCTCTCGAAACTAAATTAGGAACCACTATCCTAATCTATCAAAACTGCAACCTTAATGAAAACGCCTTCAAATTTGTTACTTAATAACTCCAAAGACACCAGCTCGACTGAGAAGTCTGGCCACAAAGGCAGATTCATAGACAGCGATTACTGGGAAGAGGGGGGGAGGCTGGGTGGGGAAAAGGACTATTTCGGTGATAGTATAAAACCCTGGGGTACATATTCGTTGGCAGCAGCTGCAAAGAGGAAGATGAGGAAGTATGAAATCTTCAGATATTCTTACTGTGACTTTATACCTACATTCAAAAAACACATTAGAAAAAGAATTTCTTGGATCTATCCTTTCTTTGAAAAATTTAAAAATATTTTTAATACATTTATACACTTGCCTCCCAACTTCCTTGGGAGATAGAACGAAAATATAATGTAAGAACAAATATGAATGTCATGGTTACTATCTTAGCCTCTACCCAGAAAGACTGTCCATGCCCCAAAAGCAATATATATTAAAAAAAAAAAAGAGTACAGAGTGTCAAAGGGATGGTAAAGACTTTTTTTTTAATGCTTCAGTAGTTCAAGGGGGAAAAGCATCTGTTGAAATCAAGAGTGCTTATAACGATTTCAGGGAGGATTTTATAAATGAGAACACGTTAAAGAAATGTTAAGAGCCCAACCACACTTCAGCAGAGAAACTGCGATTAGAAACCACGCCTCTGGTAAGAGCTCCCAGAAGATAAGAAATGGGTGTTGTACTTCTCTGGGCTGCCCTGTGGTGCTGGCATTGCAGCGACACTGGTCGGTGTCTCCTCATTCTGTGGCATACTAAAAGAGCACTCTGTTTCCCTGGATTTCACACTGTTCCGTGTGGCTGCTGACCACATTCCAGCCAGGAGCAGTGCGGCGATGTTCAGGAAGTGTCTCCCCACCGAGTCATTTAGACAGAGCTGCCAAGCCGTGGGGAGGATGGAAGGCGCAGACTACCCATCTACCTTGAATTACTAAGCCAAGGAGGTGCTGCCAGCCCTTCGGGCCCATTCAGAGGCCTCCAGAATGTCCCTCCAGGCACTGCCTTCTCCCTCATCAAGTTCCAAGCAACACCGTGACAGGAGGAAAATGTTAACAGCAGAGAGAGAGGGTAACAATTATATAAAGTCTGCATTTTCTGCATGATAAGGTCCCAGCGAGGGAGTGTTAAGAGAGAAGAAGGTGAAAAATAAAAGGGGATATCGGGACTGGTAACGGGACTGTCTCACCCTGCCTAGGATATACTGGCTGTCACAGTCATTCTGTTTTCTGGCTGCAAAGTCATGTTGCTATGGAACCAATACATGCCATTGCCACCTGGCCTCTAGCAAATAAAACCACGGTGCTGGCAAGAGCGTCTCCCTAGATCTCCCTTAAAGAGATACCAAGGATAACGAGCGCTGCTGGAGCTTAGAACAACAGCCGCACTGTTCCCAGGACCAGCCCCTCTGTAGACTCAGAAACAGAGCCCAGTGACTCATGTATTACAAGGTGTACGTGCATGTGGGGACCAGCCTGTGAACTTCCTTTTAGGAAAAAATCGTCAAGGTTTGAGACTGTGTTTAGTTGCCTTCCGTTTGGTAAGATCAAATGGCTTGCAGTATTTTGGATAACAATTTCATGCCTCCTGAGTGTCAACATTAAACTCCTCATGACCCCAGCGGGAAACCAAAGTAGTCACAAGTGGTCTGTGTGGGCTAGGATGTCCTCCTTTCATCCCTGCCCCACTGCTTGCCTCAGACCCTTCTCTACAAGTTTAGTCTTTACCAAAATAATCGTACCACGTGGGCAGGGAGTCTGACATTTCTCGACCCCTAAGGCTCTTAACTGTCCCCTACTTTTGGACTAATTAAGTTCTTGATCCTATAGAGACTTTTCCATGCTCCATTGTGAGATCTCAGTGTCTCACATTGTATTGTGGTGTGCTCTAGGGATAAACCTTTTGGGCTTTTCTTGGATAAGACAGGGAAATGGAAACCTTCACGCTCACACTTCTAATGAATGCACATTTGTGTAGACCCAGCCTCTAGCGAGAGGAGAGGTCAATATTAGGTAATAAGTAGGTGATCCCTCAGTGAATTAGCAATCTAAGTTCTAAAGTCATGATTTAGGCAGAAGAGCAGCCCCTATTTGTTAAGAAAAAGTGACAAGTAGGATAAAATAATGAACGCAGGCTTAATGCTACTCTTAGACCAATCCTTAGGTGAGATAAAAACATTTTAGAAAAAAGTGAATTTGGCACCCAAATCTAAATGAACACGATTCAGAACCAGATCTAGCTTATGACTGTTTGAAAGAAACACAGGCAAGTTCACCTCCCCAGATTCCAACATAAAATGAGGTTCTTAACTTCTGCCTTACCACATGATCGTGTGCGTTCCTATGAATAATAAAAACCAACTTTTTTATTATATAAAAAAATAAATGTTTCTCTTCAAGTCTCCATGTCTACAGACTGAATTTCCACTGTGCTGTGAGAACCCCATTAGCCATTAGTCTGCAGGTGCAGAAAACAGCCCTGAGTGGGGGTGGGGAGGTGCAGGTCTGCAGGTGGCCAGCATACGCCTGCAGGTGCACCCCAACTTCTAGCTGCAAAGCAGGTGTACCATCGAGTCTCATGGTGTTGCAAATGCAGTGGTTTGAAAAGGGCAAAAATGAAAATAATACCTCCTCAAACGAAGTCCACACAGAAGTGTGCTGCGCACACCTACTCTGCCAAGCCTTCTGGCAGTAGCCAAGTATAATTACTAGAAAGTCAAACAGCTGAGCAGTATCGCTCCTGATCTTTGCCTTAGAGGGGTTTGTTATCATTAACTTACCAGTGCTATGTGAAGTCGAACTATCTACAGCTTTGTGCACAGCAGTGACCACACAGCTAGAAGTCAAATGCCTCTCTCCTAATCCCAGCTCTGCTGGCTCTCCATGAAGCCCCCACAAGGTGACATAAAGCCCTGTGGGCCTCGGCTGCCTCATCTGCACCTAGGGCCTTTGCCAGACAAGCTCTTGGGTCCCCTCTAATACTCACATCCTATTATTCTTTGTCACGGTATTCATGAGACAGAGCAGTCATGTGAAGAAATCAGACAGTTTCCCCTTGCCCACAGCTGTATTTTTGTGCACCAGTCACTGAGGGAAAGAAATTTCCTCTCTCATCCCCTCTGCAGCCGGACAAGGTAACAGCAATGATGATAACAACTCATAAGATGCAAAACACGTGAATGACAGAAGGAGATAGCAGAAAATGAGAGAAATCATCCTCTCTGAAGAACCCAGCGATGGAGAGAGTCGAAAAATAGAAAAACATCTTGGTTCCAGGCAGGAGAAGACCTCTAGAAAATACATCAAACACTGTTTCTTGGAGCATCATAGTAATTGGATAAAATTCTGATGTGTAAAAATATATGGTGAATTCAAAGGATCACTCACCCTATGAGAACAGCAGGTTGACTTCTTTTCACCATGAAAATGGTCTAATTTCTTTGGAAAACTGCAAGGGAAAAAAAAAAAACTAGTTATATAAAAAAACAACATTAAGTCCATCCTCTACATCAGGGGTCCTCAAACTTTTTAAACATGGGGCCAGTTCACTGTCCCTCAGACTGTTGGAGGGCTGGACTGCGGGCCCCGGAATAAGTCAGCTGCTAAGCAGGACAGGCAGTGGTGGCAAAAACACCCAGTGAGCCGGATAAACGTCCTAGGTGGGCCACATGTGGCCCGCGGGCCGTAGTTCGAGGACGCCTGGTCTACATCAACACAGGTATACAGGCCAAGAGGTCACAAGAAATTCCAGTATCGAATACTATGACAATTAACAGATCCACAACAAATGTCTGAGGAACGTCATATGTATGGTGATTGGCTGACTGGGAAGTATAAAAACAGAGCTTTGCTCTAGAAGGCAGAGCAGGTTGGATTGCTTGAACTCAGGAGTTCGAGAACAGCCTGAGCAAGGGTGAGACCCCATCTCTAATAAAAATAGAAAAAACTAGCCTGGCATGGTAGTGGGTACCTGTAGTCTTAGCTACTTGGGAGGTTGAGACAAGAGGATCACTCAAGTCTCAGAGTTTGAGGTTGCTGTGAGCTATGATGCCATAGAACTCTACCCATGGAGACAGAGTAAGACTCTGTCTTAAAAGACTGAAAAAAAAAATAATCAGGCTGAGCTGAGTGGCTCATGCCCGTAATCCCAGCACTCTGAGAGGCTGAGGCAGGTGGATTGTTTGAGCTCAGAAGTTTGACACCAGCCTGAGCAAGAGTGAGACCCCATCTCTAAAAAAATAGTTAGGTGTTGGTAGGTGCCTGTAGTCCTGGGTACTTGGGAAACTGAGGCAATAGGATCACTTGAGCCCAAGAGTTTGGGGTTGCTGTGAGCTGTAACACCACACCCCTTATCCCCAGGGTGACTGAGTGACACTGTCTCAAACAAACAAACAAAAAACTCCAGAGCTTTGAACAATCAATACGTAGAAAACAACCATGTGATGGGACATGTGATGTTTATGACAAGGGGTGTGTATTTCAGTGCCCAGGAAGTAAGTGTGTAGGCAGGCCTTTTAAATTAGATGTCACATCCCAGGCGCCAACCACTGGCAAGGTTGATTGAAGAAGTCATAATAAATAACCAGAGTGTGCCATTATTTGTACTTCGCTCTTTCCCAAAATGGTATAACCTACATCTCCACTCCACTCCCCACAGTGATCCATCTTGGGAAGGCAGACTTGGGAGAGGGGCGTGAGAGGCCATCTGTCAGGCCGAATGAGTAACCCGTGAGGAAGCCAGGGTATCTGAGATGCTGATTAGCCAACTACAGAGTGAGAAAGCATCAAGATGACATGAATGGATGGAGGAAGGCTGAAAGACACAGGGAGACAGACACAGGAGTGATGGCAAAGACAATTTAATCTATGCCACACAAGGAACTATATCCAAGATCCAATTTAAAAAAATTGCCAGTGACTACTGTGTTTGTTTGTTTGTTTTGAAATAGAGTCTCACTCTATCACCCTGGGTAGAGTGCCATGGTGTCATCACAGCTCATGGCAACCTCAAACTCCTGGGCTCAAGAGATCCTCTTGTCTCGGGCCTCCTGAGTAGCTAGGACTATAGGCACAAGCCAACACACCTGGCTGGCTAGTTTTTTCTATTTTTTTTTATCAGTAGAGATAGAGTTTGGGGTGGGTCTCACGCTTATGTAAGCGGGTCTTGAACTCCTGAGTCCAGCGTTCCACTCGCCTCAGCTTCCCAGAGTTCTAGGATTACAGGTATGAGCCACCCACTACACCTGGCTTCCAGTGAGTATTTTAAAGACACTTTTGTGGGTTTAAAAGGACATGTGAGGCAAAGCTGTTCCAGCTCCCAAGTTTCCCCTGGCAAATTTGACATGACCCATTCATTTGACATGGATCCTATGGGATTCATTCTGGGAGCTGTCAGAAGCCCAGGACCTCATGCCCTTTTCCTAAGAGGGAAAATGTAACCACAAGGGGAGGCTGGAGTCTCTGCAACATGTCCCACTAGCCTGAAGGCAGATTCCCAGACCCAGTTTCTTAGAATCTTCCCCTCAAAGTCTCACAAGAAGTACATGAGTGTTTAAGTGACGCTTTCTATGCTACCAGACTGTCCTAGGCTAGGCGATTCTGGCCCCCAGCAGGTGAATTTCTAATGAAAAGAGTACCAGAAAACAACACTGGCGTGAAAAATGGTGTGTACTGGCAAGATCTTTGAGCACCTTCTTCGTTTTAAAGCAACACTTTATAATCCACTCACACACACTGACCTTTTCATCCTAACAACGGACAAGATGTCCACAGTAAGAATTATAAAGACCACAACATATGATTTCCGAGTCAGACCCAAGTCTGAGCCTCAGCTCAGTCATATCCTAGCTGTGTGATTCCAGTTACTTAAACTTGCTGACCCCTTTCCTCATTTGCATAATGGCAACTATAATACCCACTTCATGTAACGTTTCAAGTTCCTAGTGCAGCATGTGGCACGCATAAGAGACTTAAAAAGGAAAAGCTTTATCACCATTTGACACAACACATTTGTATATCTGTAACAACACAGGAGACACAGAGACATTTTTATAACTTTATAACTTACTAGTATATGATTACTTATATACCCTATTTTATTTTCCTCTATCCTTCCAAAATTTGAACAAAATGAAACTATCCTATAACAATTAGAGCTAGGAGGAAAAAACAAATAACACAAATCACAAAAAAAATCCCACTAATAATCACTATTACTATTCTAGTTTCTATAACCCTAGACTCTCTCTTGATCGAGTATACAGAGTATATCATACATATATTTATACAAGTAAATTTATCTACTCACATACCATTTATTGATGACAAAATTCATATTGCATTGCTGCTTGATAATCTTTATACTTGTGACAGTAAAAACCTCTTTTAATACCAATAAATCCATCTATATGATCATTTTTGAAGACTGGAAATAGTATTGCTTTGAAAGAACGAACCAGTAAGTGTCTATTGGCCGAATTACAGAATCCACTGAAGTGTGCCGCGTTTGTGAGAAATGCCTACACACTGGGGTAGCATGGGATTCTTTTTCTTCTGCATTTTTGTCAAGATTAAGAAAGGCAGATTGTATAAATATAAAAAGTCTTAACAGCAAAAAAATTGTTTTGGCTCGAGTGGGTGTAGTTTAGAAGAATACAAACTAACGCATCCAGCATGGGGAATAAAAATCACAAATTACAACATTCAGTGGGTATCTAATATATTGAAAAGGAACAGAATTTTAAAGACCATGGATAATGGCGAATAGAGGTGCCTATTTTGAGTATGAAATTATCAGTCTGAAGTCAAACAGGTGTCCCTGTTTTCAGCCCAATCCCGGTAGAGTTACTTGATACAGAAAAAACTGTAGACTCATGAGTGATCCCAGATATTTAGTCACATTATTTGAGCTTAAAAACCTAGGAAAAATAGTCAGGGTTTACCATATTTACAAGGTATCAGAAGTTGGAATATTTGTGCAGTGTTAATATTTCTAGGCCAATTTCCTTCACAAAGCATGGTTGGTGTGGTAAAACAGATGTGATGGGGGGTTGCTGCATCACATGCCACATCTTTGTCCTCAATTAAGAAAATTGTGCCATGCCTCCAACAGGGACTGGCAACATTTCAGGAAAATTCCACTTTTGAGGGCAGGCTGCGGTGGTGAGCATAGCTGCACAGGAGCAGAGTGTGGAGATAATTCCTCCTCCGGCTATGAATGCTGCTACCCTTCTGTAAGTACCCAACAGTGCTCCATCTTCCATCATGCCGGCAGGAGGTGGGGGCCAGGCAGGGAGCAGAAGAGAGAAAGATGGGATATACTGCGGCAGCACAGATATGCCAAATCAGACACTAGCCGGGAAATCACAGACAGAACAAAAGTGGAGAAACATGGAATCTGATTTCTGAAGCCAGAGCCCATAACCAACGGCAAGCGACTGCCCCTTTGCACGCTCCCTTACAAAACAATAAACAGTTTGTCTCTGTCCCAGTTTATGGAAATTTTAGGGGCAGTGACAAACTGTGATGGGGTTATATTCTCCGAAGAGACTTCTGTTCCATTTTGACCACGTAAAAGACAATCAACATTAGGAAATAAGAATACAGACCTTAAGTTCAGCATCGAACCACACAGAGAGGGAGCATCTCTTCAACCATTCACACTAGGGACATCATATATCATGGGATAGGAACTGAGCTACTTTAACAAATCTCTTTGGACGGTACAACTCAGAAACCAGCAAGATGCCTCTAGATCTGACCATGAACTTCTTACAGGGACAGTTTTTGCTTTGCCCCACTCTCTGTGGTCATGGCTTTTTCCTCAATGAGCAGCAGATGGTCAGGGTGCATTGCAGGCTCTATGATGTCCCTTTTATGCTGTCAAGAATAAATTATACACATTCTTAAATTTGCCTTGAGAGGGATCTTTGTCTCCTTTGAAGGTGTACATGGGACAACTCATAACACATCCTGTGTTCCTGTCCTGGCCATGAAAACTTGTAGTTTACAACATAACATCCTCATCCAATTGTGTTTTTCCAATAAATGTAATCTGAATGGGAAAACTGTACATTTCTGGACTAGCAACTCCTTTTTTCAAATTTGAAAATAGTAAGGGTATATCAATGTTTTTGTTATACAAATACACTGTATAATGCTATAGTCAGGGCTTTTAGTGTACTTGCCATCAAGACAGTGCTCATTGTTCCTGGTAGGTAAGTTATTGTCACTGAATCCTTTCCCATCACATCCCCTTCTTGTTTTGCAATGTCCTTAACATCTGTAGTCTCCAACCCTGGGAGACTGTGGCCAGGGCTGCACAGCAAGAGGTAAGCAGCAGGTGGCCTAGGGAATGAAGCTTCCTCTGTATTTACAGCCGTTCCCCATTGCCTGGTAATGGTTGGTTTGGTAAAACAGATGTGATAGGAGGTTGACTGCGTCACCTGA